ATTATTCTCAAATAGATACACTGCAAATTTAAATTGGTTTCTGTGTAATTAAAAACCAATTTAAAAATATTTTAAAGCTCTAGGACTGTCGATTGCAAACTATTAAATTAAGTCATTAATTGAGTTAGAAAGTACAGTAATCCATTATGTGTTTAGAACCCACAGAATCATATTCACATGTATACTCCTATGAATGCTGTTGACGTTCCAACAAAACCACAAGGCGGGAGACAATGATTACATAGCACAACTGAAGTAACTCATTTCGTTTGCATATAATGAAAAAGTTTAATGTGACTCTAAGGCGTAGCAGTGGCAGTGGCAGTGGCAGTGTCACTGGTAGCTGCCATTTGCATCAGTGATTGTGATTTGCGGTAGTTTTATGTTACCTGCAGGCAGGCTTCACACTGAAACAAGAAATTTCTCACCTAAACTGTCAGGCCATGTTAACGGAAACCGCAAAAGTCATATAAGCAACAAAAATGTTGTATGTGAGGGAATTTACCTGTTGTCACCATGTTTACTAACAACTAATAAGGCTTGTGCAACAGCCGCAAGTCCTGGCTACGTCTTCAATATGAGGAGCAGTGTTAGTGACAAAAGACAACAGCGCTGTGACATCAGCGTTGGCGGCATGGAAATTAAGATTCTATCAAACTTTCTATTTTGTGCAGCTGTGCGTGGCATTGTCGTAGTTTATGTTAAGTTAGTAACAAAGGCGTTCTTGGCACTAACGACACGGTTAAGACACACCAGCTTGCATTTATATCTTTCCATATCTGCTTGTCTGCTTGTCTGCTTGCCTACCTACTCGCCTCCTTGGTTCCTACCTGTCTTGTATTCAGTTCCGTGGCAGGAGTGAAATGAAATTCTATTATTTGTATCAGAACAACTAAATAGGAAAATCACGTTGACTTTGTTTTCAGCTCCACTGCATTTTATCAGTGAAATTTGTTTGTAACAATAGTTGCTGCATGCACTGTCATTTCATATAATTTGAGCATTAACCAAGCACTCATGAACGGAGTAGGTACATAACAAGACTATCAGGTCTACTTTATATGAAGTAGAAAATGTGAAACTCATATATAGCATAATCAGCAGAAAACTTTTCTATTTGAACTTTGATTTTTTTTCTACACAATTAGAGGAAAGTTCGTCTTTCTTCAGCATGAGTAGATACAATTTTAAAATAATAAATTTTAAACATTTCAAACTTTAGTTTTCAAAAAGAAAAAAAAAATGTACTATATGTCTTTTTAAACAAATATTTGATGATAATTTATGGCAGCATTTAAATTTTACGGATGATAGAGTTTGCGATTAAGCTAGTATAATATTTCAAAAAGAATTTTGATTTATAAATTAATTTTAAAAAAATTTACTAAGATCATCAATTAAAAAACAAAATTTTAAATTGAATGTATATATAATGGTTGGAAATATTTCAAATATCTGTTGAGTAAAACTCATACCAAAATTACACTTCAAAATCTGATGACGACAAGTTATACTATACCCTGGAAAACAATTTAGTAGGTTGATTATAGATTAAACTAAACTAATCGTTAACATAAAATAATAACTTGTGAAGTTTTAGGCATTCCGCATCAGGGAAGTCGGTTAACATTGAAAAATTGAGGTAATGATGAGCATCATTCTTGACCTCATGAGACCTCATCAATCTTCTACATTTCTACAATCATCTACATTTTGATATGCAGATGATTTCATATATATTGCTTTCCATTTAGATTGATAGCTTATATTATATAAACTTTAATAGCTTATATTATATAGGTCCTATTATACACAAATGCATTTGAAGTACGACATTTTTCAAGTGAAGAAGAAGAAGAAAGTGTTCTTCTGTCAATATTATGTATAGTGCCATAATGGATTGCCATCCACAATTGGTCTTTATTACATGGGAATAAATATTTGTGGGTTATTGAAAATAAAACTATAATAATTAATGTTGTATTGAAATTTTATTAAAAAAACTCTACATTCGTGACATAAAATCAGTCCATTCAAATTCAACTAAAATGATTTGATTTCTTCAGATATTCTATTCTTATTTGTAAGATTAAACGATACGATCTCTGATATAAAATTAATTTGAGTCAAGAAATCGCAGCCAGTACTAAGGATCTTTTTGAAGCTTTTTAGAGATTAGCTATATTACAATGTTGGTGTTGAAGTCAAAAGAAAATAAATATTTAATTGCTTAATAGGAATATTGTTGATAATAAAATGAAAGTGGTTTTAATAGAGTATATAATTTTAAAATGAAAACATGTCACCCAATCTTTATGTATTTAACTCATTAGTTAATTGATTGCTTTTGAATAAACTGTTTCATTGTTCAGTCGTGAAATGAATATTAAATTTTTTATAAATAGTTTTTTCAAATTGAATAAAAATTATGAAAATTTATTGTGATAATTTAAAGCCAATAATAAAATATCAATTAAAAAGCCACAAAGCATTTAGGTGGCACAACTGTATATGAAAGTCTTACCACAAATCAATTGTGGAGTGAAAAACAATTAAATGCAATAAAAGCAATGGTTTTCATGTCAGAAGGTGAACTTTAAACGCTGATCGATCAGGTAAATAGCAATTATAATATGGTTTTAAAATTAAAACGAATTTAAGTGACAGCATTAAGAAATATTTCAAAATTTATGAATTTAATATTTTCTGGGCACAATATTTTAAAGGTCAAGTGTCAGAAGCATCTGTTAGCTCAGGTAAAACTTTATCTATAGCCTTAAAAAAGTAATCGTAGCTTCGCTGTGGATAACTGAAAATGACATAGCAATAACTTTACTTAATTGCAAAAAGGTGAATAGTTTTTGTTTTTATTTCATTGGTGTTCATATAAGAAATGAAGTAATTTTTTTTCTTTTTGAAAGTATCTGTTACCTTACCACATGTGGAAAGATATCAAAAAATATTTCTTCTCTTGCCAAAGTTAACCAACACAAATTCAAAACTTTTGTAGCAACCTTAAGTTGTCTTCCAAACGAATGTTATTGCTTCCATTGCTCTATTTGGTTGGTGGTTGGTTGGTACGTTGCCTAGGATTGTAATTCCCAGCTATTTGCCACGAATTCAAGCTGTGGCGAACATTTAATTTGCAGACTACGTGACAATGAACAGAAAATTGTTCGTGTGGAATACTGTTTCAGCACTATTCCTTTCCCATATACGTGTTATGTGTTTTATTTGCTGCTTATTTTCACGGGAGTACAGGGTCAAGCATTGAACTTAGGGAGCATTTTATGTTGCATTGTTCCAAATTGAGGTGTTGATAGTTCATACACCGTTTGTGGTTAAGTTGCATTCTTATTGAATAGAAATTGATCTCAATTTAACAAATAGTTAAAAGTTTAAGTAGTAGTAAGAAATTGTACATATTGTTGCGATATATATATTATATATGCAAATTTGAGGTAAACAAAACAATTACTTATGATCTTTATTAAGTAATACTTTTTATTGCATTTGAATATATATTGCACTCAATAAAATAGTAGTAGACGAGATATACTTGAGTTTATGCCAAATGTTCATATCAGTGAATGTTCATAGATCACTCATCATATTAGTATCCAATTCAGAATTAAAACCCAGTTTTTTGGTTTTTTCTTACTTTTCCATACAGTTATATTTATTATGTTGAAGCTATTTGCGCTAGTGCACTTGAGCGATTTTCCTCTTGCTTAACTTGAGGTATTTTCAAAACCGCTCTTTACGCCTTGATTGGATTATTGTTTATCACTTCATCAGACTAAGCAATAATTGACCTCAGATCTGCACACCTCCACGAGGAGTCTGTAACCATTGTGAGATTTGATAATGCGGTGTTCGTAAGTCTGTCAGTTTTTGCATTAGTATTATTATAATCAAGAAATTAAGTTCAAACTAAAGGATTAATGGTGATAATAGAAGTATCATAAATAAATATAATATTAATATATATCATAATTATATATAAATATTATATTATAATAATAAATAAAATCTAACATAATATAATATAAATATAATTACTACGAACTATATTCTAATACATTATATTGCAGTTAAAATAATAAGTTTGGACCCCACAGTCTTCGCGCCATTTAACTCAATTCATTATATGACCTGATAATATATACACATTTTCTAGAATGATGTTTGGACTATCTCTCCGTTTTTTTTTCTACTATCTCTGTGAAATTCTTTCATTCTATATTTTTCATCTTTTTGCCTTTTTGGGTTTGTTAGCAAGCACATTGAGTATTACAATGTGAGAGTTAAGAGGATCATTACAGTTTCTGTAAAAGTTTCTGTGGCAAAAGGTTTTTATATGTGCCATATTTATATCATTTAAATAAATGTTTCCTACAACAGAAAAATATTGCAATTGCTTTCATTATACCTTTAGATAAATATTCTAGCATTAGTTTTATTATTTGTGTGAGTGGAGTGAATATATATATATATATATATACTTCATAATTGATACGAATAGAGCTTAGTTGGATACAATGTACTAACTGACGATACACGTAAGTAGCTTAGCTACAGTCGTAGGTTATTGTATTTCATATTGTATTTTCATACAATTAAACTACACTGACAACCGTCAACTACTGTAGCTAGAGAATGTAGTTGAGTCGTGTATTGAGATAACATTTTCAATGCTGGCTTAGTTCTTTCATGTAACTATATTCATTATTTAATATTGCCAATTTAAAATAAATTAAATTAACTAAATTATTTGGATTCAATTAATTTACTATGCATTTCGTGCTATCAGAATCTTATTGTGTGTAAGTAAATCTTTCTTCAAATAACAATATATCGCAGATGCTTTCATCTAAGATTCAGTATAAGAGAAAGATATTGTTCCATCAGTTTCACTATGTCTATCTACCAACATCTTACATTGGATTTTCTTCAGAATTGAGTAATTTATAATAATTTTAATATATTTTCGTACTTACATAATTTTCAATCAAATCATTACGATGTGGCACAAAATAATTGTGATCCTCCATGTCACGTCGTTTCTTAACACGTACAAAATGTTCCATTGGATTTAGGTTGCGACGAGCACATGCACTCGCAAGAAACTCCTCAACAGACATTGCGTCACGTAGATAAACAGTCGAGTAAGCATTTTCAGGCATTGCAACTTTGAATGTTTTTTCCGGTTCGTCACGTGAATTCATCTGGAAAAAGTTTTTCGATTGGAAAGAAAAATGCAGAAAATTAGACAAAAATATTCATACACAGAACACAGAACAGAAGTAGGAGCAGAAAATGCATATAGTAGATATAAGTTTAAAAAAATAAAGTTTGAAGGTATATGGCAAGGCAGGGCAAGGTATACGACAATACGACAGTTGCAAGTAAAATGTTATAAAAAAATTTTAATGTTGACAAAAAAATAAAAAATAAAATGAAAAGTTTATATAAGAAATGAAGCTTAAAAAGTGGCAAACACAGATTTCAGAGAAATTTTTTCAAATTCAATAAAATTTAAAAAATATTCTCCTTCTTTTTCGCAGAAAAGTAACAGAAGTCGTTCTTGTATTTAACAAGAAAAGCTCAAATACATTATAACTAAAAAATGTCATGTTAAATAGCATCGTTTGACTGGTAGGAAATACGTGCTTATCCACATATACCCAAACACTTATAGAATATGACAGCCACAAATTTACTTTTGCAAATCATTGCATTTGCATTGAATGAAATCAAATTTGGCAGGGATTGAAGTAAATACACAAATTCATAGATATTTCACATACTCAGTTCGCATTTAAAGCAATGAATAGTAAATGCATTTAGTACACTTCAGCTGTCATTTACAACAGCTTTCGATTTATAGTTCAACTAATTAAACATTAATTAAAAGTGTTGGTTTGCAACGTCAAGCACCTGATTTGCTACAAATTTGATGTGCCAAATTGTGACCAAAAGGTTGCAAATCTGAATCACTTATGCAGAATTAAAATTATAAAATTAAAATGAAGAGGAAAAGTGATTATGAATTGGGACAACCACATTTGTAAATTCAAGATTTGGTGAAATGGTTTTTAAATTACTCGTCACTTATTTATTTTTTGGTTAATACCCACATTGTTAATCTTACGATAATTATTAAGTCCATCAGAAACAGTTTGTTGTGTCAACTAAATGAATAGGATGGGTCATCCGAAATTATATGATGGGCTGCGTTAACATCTTTACAAGATGATTTTATCTAAAGAGGCAGAATGTTCTCTCTGCTTGGAAGTAAATGAAACCTATGAGCATATACTTTGTTCATTTCCGGCATTAACGTAGATCGGGTGAAGACTGCTATATTAGGACTTCTTATCCTTTTCCGAAGTCAGAATATCCTTGAAAGTGGATATTTTAACTTTCATTCGAAAGGCATAGTGTTTTTTTTGTTCATTTAAGCACAGTATCTTTACTCTTTTCGGAGTTGGCTGTAGACTGATTTCAATCTATGTACGAATCAGCGCTATTCCTGTGGTACCACAATGGGCCACCATTTGAGCATACGTGTGCTTTTTGAAAAACAGGACCGCCATTCCAACCTACTTACCTAGGCACAGTAAGTATTGCAAAGATTCATCAATGGAAACTAGAACCCTGTTTATTTTCTATTCTATTCTAAACTGAAACTAATTTGATAGTTGTGTTATATTGTTTAAGAAATATAGTTTAGATAGTTTCGAAAAGTTACTAAAGAAGTAAATGTATGTACTCAATAATCACTAAGTAATAAATTATTGAATTCTTCAAAGGTAAAATGCTTATGCTGAGGAATGAAGTAGCCACTAAATTACAACAGCAAATGTAAGTGAACTGCAATATTTTGTTTAAAAGTTGGTTTTCTGGTTACATCTGGCAACATCAAATAATAAGAAAATAATGGGTCTGTTCCACGAGTTACTCGTAGTAACTTTGAGTAACACTGTGTATACACAAGTGCGTTCCACCAGCAAATTTTCGTTTAAATGAGAGCTTCTGAGAGAGAATAACATCTCTGTCGAAATTTGAAAATGCTACACAGACTTTACTTGTACATTTTATTTCTAGTAAAATTTGGTAATGTGTGAATTAGCTGTTTTGGTTTAGATTTGATTTATTGTACTTGTGTTTTACTTGAGTTTTACTACGAGTAGCTCGTGGAATAGACCTAATAACACGAAAAAGTAGAGTCAGAGTGACAGTCGTATTGAGTCGTTATAAGTGTATGCATGCTGATTCGTCATGTAATTACTATATTAATAAAAAATACAAAATTACTAAAATTAAATATCTCTAACTTAAATTAATATTTCTAACACACATTGTTAAAAATTATATATGCTCAAAAATACACAGTGAGAATTAGTATTATCAAAAATAACAAATAACTTTTTAATTCCTAAGTATTCTTTTGTAGCTCTAATTAATAACAATATCATAATATAAATGTATTTAAATTCAAATAAAACAATGTAAATTATAATTATAAATAAATGAAATAAAAATCGATGAGGAAATAATGTTGCGGTTATATAGCGCTCATGATTAGAAAATTAAAAAATTGTATTCGTAAATTTTTGGTGTTATTTAAATAAATATAATATATATTTTGTATCCAAAAATTTATTTCACTTATCTGCTGTTCAAATTTAATTTATGGTATTTACTTCATTGCTGTAATTCAATTACTACTAAAATATTAAATAAATTAATTTATACTAAATGATTGTATTGCATTATAAATAAATTTAATTAAAGTGTGTGCCACTCTCAATACAAAATTTCGAATTTATTTAACAAATAAGTTGCATTGGAGCTGTTGAATTTTAGTGAAAAATTCATTTAATATACAAATAGCAGTTTTTGTGGCACTTAATATTATTAAATTGTCAATAAATATAAATAAATTTAAATAATTAAGTTTATTATACTTTTGCATATAATAAAAGTAACACACAATTCCAATGTAAAATAATTTATCAGTGGTGTAGTTTATATTTTATTGTAGAAAAATAATTATCCTTTAAGCGCGGTGCAGACTATCATTTTTGAATGTCATTCAAGTTGCGCTCACATGCTCACATTCAAAGCGTTGTCATTCAAGCAAAATTTTTGAAGAATAAAGGTGTTTGCGCACGCTGTAAGTGTATTTCGCAAGTTGCAAGTGTGTTAGTGCAACCATGCAAAAGTATGCTCTTGAATGAGGGATGCAAGTTTTTGGATTACAGACTATCATTCACAACATATTGGCAAGAAGCTGAACGATGTGATCACCAAAATTTTGGTGATATTAGATTTTTAAATTTGCTCTCTTGAATGAAACGCAAAAATATTAGTCTGCGCCGCACTTTAAGGAAGTCTATAAGGTTATTCAAAGTAAACGTTGACTACTCATTATAGTAGTCCAAGATGGCTTTTATTTACTAGAATAAATAGAAATACTACAAAAAATATGCATTTATAGCTTTCAAAAAATTGAGAAATTTATTTTTCGTACGTGTGAGATGTTTGTACTTTTTTAAAAATGATGGTAAATTGATCATTTTGATCTGCAAGACCACCAATTTTTTTTTTGTAGTGTGGAATCAGTATGATACCACAAGTCATTAGTCGCGCAATATGTTTTAGTTTAGCTCTTTTGAGCAAGAAATTATTTGGACTTGAGATTTCGTGTTTTATTGATGTAAATTGTCTACAAACATTATGAGATTTTTCAACACTGGAGCTATTTGTGGTGTGATACAAGGAATATAATTGATGTGGGCTATCCCTTTAACTTGCGACGCCTTGAAAACGAACATTCGCCAAATTATAGCTGAGCTGTGACCTCAAGGAAATAATAAATCTAATTATTTAACACTGAGAGAATATTTGAATTATGTGTCATATTTTACATATACCATTATATACCATTATACTTCAAACAATTATATTAGTTGCAAAAAAAAATCGTTCTTAATCTTAAGATAACCCGTTGTCTATCCATAAAATGTTTATTAACACAAATAATAAAACTAAACTTTTTTATTACTGCTTGTTCCGCCGCTGTATATTATATACATATGTAAATATTTGGTAACAAAAGCCATTAATAAAATAATTATCCATTTATGTTCCTATAGTAAAATCCATTTAGCATGAAAATTACTAGTGGCATTTTAGAATATTTAATTAAAATATTCGACAAATGTATACTATATATACTATATATACATACCATATATATATATATGGTATATATGGTATTCATTTTGGACAGAAATTCGTGTATGGCTTTCGTAATGGCAAACTAAATTTTACTGCAAAATGTGTAATAGCAAATTAAAATCTTAAAATAATTTACATAAATATTTCACATCAATGCATGCACACATTAACTTACTTCTGCTCTATTTAATACGGATGCGGATGCAAAATTTTGCATTTTTTGCATTTTTGCATTTTTTGTTTTGTTTTATTATTTTATGCAGTTCAATTATAAGAGCTGAGCATCTCTCGAGTATGGAAAAGTAAGTGCTACGCCAGTTACAAATGTCAACTTTTACAAAATGTAGCATTAATGACTTAATTTATTTGCAACTGACATTAAAGCACAATAAACTGTTAATAAATCAATGCAGTGAAGTAAATAAATAAATAAATGGAAATCGGAAAATTTTAATATTTTTTCCATTCCACTACGAACCGACGCAATGGACTGAGTATAAGCATTGAAATAAATTGAGTTTTATTCAATTGCTTCTCCAATATAGACAAAATTATTTATGAATTTTTGTGTGCGTTTTACAATAACAAAAAAAGAAAAATATTAAAAATGTCAGTTGCAATCATTTCCGCTTAAAAAATTTTTTAATTAAATGTAAAATGCAAAACATTTTCTTAATTTTATTTTTATAATGCACGAGTATGCCACATTGAACGTGATAACTTGAAAATGTGAAATATTTAAAGTTTTACTCGTAATATAATTTCATCGAATTTTAGTTGAAGTGTTAATTACTATTAATTTTGATTTTTATTTATTTAAATCTTTATGAAAAATCTAATTATTAAGTTATTACACGACGTGCATTATTTGATTTACGAGCATATTTTTTTTGTTACATACAAAACAAAACTGAAATGTTTAAATAATTGTTTTTTTCCAGCAGTAATATTTACATTTTCATACAGTTTGACAACCCTG